TGTAAGAGGTTGCCCATTGTATTCCTTCCCATGCAGTACATTGTTATAAAGGAAACATACTACAGTAAGACAATTATTGGTGGGGCTTCAGAAACCCCCCCCCCCAGCCCCCCGGCTCCGACGGGCCTGAAAAATGTGATTGCAACAGGGCTACATGTACAGATTTACACATCTATTTGCAACAGTGTGTCTATTGTGATCGAATGTATAGGCATGCTTTACTATTTATTTTTCGTCCCGATCCGGGGTCGATAGATTCTCTCTATCCGTTGGCAAAATCACAAAGCCTCCGAAACAGACGAAGACATGATTGACGGCCTCTTGATAGTTCTAGCCCACACGAACTTCAGAGAGTTGGATTATAAACGCCCCCATGTGGTATTTACTAAACAATTAATTCACATTTCCGCTTGTTACTGGGTTGTTCTGCTTGTTCCTTGGTTGTTCCGCTTGTTACTGGGTTGTTACTGGGTTGTTCCGCTTGTTACTGGGTTGTTCCGCTTGTTCCTCGTTTTAGCAACGTCGGCTTAATGTCACAATCATGGTGAAAATTACGGGGATGTGACTGTCAGTACAAATTATGAACACCTGATACCTGTCCTGGAATAAGATTCTGAAGTATGACAGCCGAAAACATGGAAGCTTTATTCGGCATAACTGTGCCGGAAAAAAATAAGAGAAAAGACACATTTCTATTCCCAAAGCTACAGTTGAAAACGAAACATTGTTGGCAGGAACATTGCTAGTCTGCTGTAAAATCACTTAAAAGATGACTTATTAACAAGCACGCCGGAGCCGTGGGGAGGGCTACAGCCCCCCAACTATGATATTCAGGGAGTGACATCAAATATGATGGGGGAAAAGAACCATGAAAGTTTGCTATTTTTCTAGAACCCCCTTACTCCAAAATGTGCTCCGGCGTCTCTGTGTAGACGCAAGTTCGCAGATCGCTCGCAGCAACGCACACGATAAAAATGGCAAAAACTGGTCTCAAATCGTGTAATGTTCCATGCTGCTCCTAATTTCATCATTTCGCAAACTAACGGCTAACGAAGACAATCTAACGGTAAACACAACAAGACTACTCTAAAGTATGAAACAAGCCTATTTTACATAATTTACAAGCACCTATAATAAAAATTACGTAAAACACTTGAAAATCATGATGCAATCGTCATAGTATGCTCTGCAGGCTCTGCAAAGAATGGGAACCCTTTGTTCTAACCAGGGGTGGACTGGCCGGTCGGGCTACCGCCTCCCACAATTATTGCAATTTTTCTTCATTTTACTCTGAACTGGCTTTGTATTGTATGGTAGGGGCCTTCTTCTTCTCTCTCGATAAAAATATCACTTTGAGGTATCTTAGTACTGAAAAAGACATTTTCCAAAATTTGAGGCCCCACGTAAGCACGCAGTATTGTGGGCTCAGGGCTCGCTGTTCCTAATGCAATAAGACAGTACTTATGGGAGTTCCAAAATCGCAAAACATTCTCTTCGGGCCGTCAGTTTCAATGTTTGCAAGGACATGACAGATTTTTGACTCACTCCCTAGAAAGGCAAGTTACTTCATTGCCAACCAGATAGATTTGACAATATACATCAAAACAGCGGATGGCTCAGCCCCCCTCCTTGTTTGTTCTTCGGTCGGACAAGAATCGTGTAACGTGTAATAGGGTTATTTGCCATCCGTAACGAGGTTTTTGTTTATGATATGGAATTTTTTTGAAGAAAAGATTTGATGACAAAGAATTTGATGGGCTGAATCAGGGGCGAAAATACCGGGAGGGTGTGGGGGGGTGTGACACCCCCCCCCCAATCTTAAAAATAACCGATTTCGCAGGGCAATCAAAGATTTCGCAGGGCGCCAAGAAGAGCTTTATTGCCACGCAGAAACGCCACGTCTGATGTTCGTAAAGGGCCGTTTACGAATTTTGAAATGGAAATGTTATATTTGTAATAAACCTCCCTTCCTGACATTGCATTTTAGAGAACGGAACAGGTATGTCAGGAAGAGCTCCGTTATTAGCAGAGCGAAAACATTCCTTACCGAAAGTCATAGCCAATGGATGCAATGATTCATGCATAAGTTTATGAGGGCAAGGTTCAGTCCACACAAATTAAATTAAGTTGTAAATTATTTCCATGACAGGTACGGCGCCACTGAGGGTAATAGAAAGCTAAAGGCCCCCACTTTAGTAAAGATAAGAATTTTTTTATCATTTTTTCTAGAAATTTTTAACAGTGTATGAAATAAAAAGAGAATAAACGTTTAAGATGCCGATTTTGTTAGATCTAATTGCTAACTTATTCACGTATATTTTTTCATTATTTTTCTTTTATTTGCATTTATTCGGTAAATCACTTTCTGTATCATTGCAATTTTTTCATTTTGCATGTGTAAACATGGCCTTCTTGATGAAGTTTCAAGTTTGTTTTTATTGCTTAGAAGTTTCTTATTGGTAAAGACAAATTTACACTTGTAAAGCTTTCACTAGTAACCTATAGACAAACCTTTGCTACGAGGTCTGCAGGGCACCACTCATTTTCGCAGGGCAGAAACCCTTTTCACCTCCCCCCCAAACCTATTGGCCAAGTTACGCCACTGGGCTGAATGCAATTAAAATGACTTTTGAAGGCCTCACTCAGCTTTTGCCCCGGAAAAAAATTCAGCAAGATTTCATTCAACCGTGCATTGAAATTCGAGAAATAAATGACCAAGATCACAGAGATCTTAGAATTGGTATTCGAGGAATTCTACCAGGCGAGACAACGGCACGCCTTCTCGCAGCAAACCCTAATTCTTCCGATGTAGAGAAGCTAATTCCCATCTGCCAAATCATAGTAAGAGGTTGGCAAAGCAGCTTATCTCCAAAATCACTTAACAAATATATAAATATCGCTTAACAAATATATAAGTTTCGAGTTCCGTGAACAGCTACAAAGATGTGGTTTCAAAAAACCAAAAACACTAGTCTGGGAAACAAGATTGATTAAAGAGGATTTTCGAAGGAGAAAGGAAAGAAAAATAACTTTGACGGAGATCAAAACAAGCCATGTCAAAGGGTTTCCTTTCGATAACTATTTGCTCACAAGTTAAGACATCACTATATGTTTCTAATTTTCTTATTAACCCAATCCATATATTGAAAAGAATCAGCTTCTTATACTTCTTTTATTTAAGATTTTACCCAATTTAAACATTCTATTTGCACTATAGTGGCAGTTTCTACATTTGCCACGCCCCTTTTGTCAATCGTAGCAAAGTACCACGCCCAAATGTTATAAAGAAATGTGGATCTGTGAAAATTTCTTATTTTAGGCCCTGCAAGAAACACAACTGTTGAGGTGTCGATTACCCGTGCATAGACCAAACTTTCCTTTCTGGAAATCTAATTCGATTTGGCCTAACACAGTTGGGCCTGCTTTTTGCACCTCTTCTTTACATTTAGTTCTCCAGTAATTAAATAAAAGCTAAACAATCTCTATAACTAAGGAAATAAAGAGGCATTGTGATTTACATATCATTTGTGCCTAGCCCACCAGTCCAATGCATCTCTTCCATCGAACCCTGTTTCCCACCCGGAACTTAATTGATAGACAGCCTCGATTTCATAAA